TGTTAAGAGTTCTCTTCCTGGTTTGCAGACAGATGCCCGCTTACTATATACCTGATATACTAGAGAGAGAGAGAAGAGAAAGACAGAGACAGAGCTCAGCTATTTCTTATCTCTTTTACAAGGGTACTATCCCACTCACAAGGACTCCAACCTTATCACCTAATCATTTTCCAGAGCCCCACCTGCAAATACCATTACATTGGGTTTTAGGCTTCAACATACGAATTTTGGAGGGACACAAACATTCAGTTCATAACAAGATCATATGTAAAACGCCTAAGGATATAAAATGACACTTTGTCATTTATGTGAATACGGGAATGACTGAAACCTAGTTTTGCCTGCTGCCAAGCAAATTATCGTCCTGTAATAATATATTTTCTTGAAACAGACATGGGAACTTTGGCATCCTGGCTGGAACATAAGTTCATGAGAAAAATTTCATGGCTAATAAAGTTTTCTATGAAAAACAAAATCTTTTATAGTAGATTTAGGGCTCAGTAGCTAATTCTGTGCTACAGTGTCTTAGTTTATCTCAGCCCCCAGATATATAAAGAAGTGCTTATTTTCCTTTTTTAAATCATTGCATATTGCTGATCTTTTCAAAAGAGCTGGGCAGAGTTGAACTAAAATGACGAAAATGCACCCCACTGAGGTACTCTCCAGAATTCCAATCAGTATTCTGATTATTACTGTGTAACGAGGACCAGAATATAAAGGCATGTGCAAAGAGTCCACTCTGCAGCCAAGCTACACAGCCTAAAATCATCATAATTACAAAGCTCAGTCAGAATTTAAAGGGAAGGGATATTTAGATGATTTCAGGAGAGTCCCTCAACTAAGATAATTTGAAAAACTATGCTATTATAGGGAAGAGCTTGTCAAAAGGACTAGAATACTGAATCCATTGGACAAGACTTTCTCCCCCATTGTGATTGCAAGTGCATATTGAACAAGTTCTGTATCTGTTAGTTGTTTTGAAGTCTTATGCTGTGGTCTATGTCAGAGTTTTAATATACTAACACAGCCCTGCTTGCTTAGATTTCCACAGTGCTTGAGTAATGCAAGGAAGCTCTTCAGAAGTGTATTTATAGTATTATATAGTTGGTGTTTTCTGAGCTCACTAACTCTTCCCACTCTGTATTGATTATGTAGCTTAACTTTCAAATAGTCTAATTTGCCTTATTTACAATATCTTGAAGAATACCTCACCATAGTCTCCAAGCCCTGACAGCATTATCCAAATGTCATTCAGGCAAATTTTATATTATGCTTTTTAATTATCTGTCTGATTAGAGGTAGATGATAATATCGGTTACAAAATTATATTCTTTTTTAAATAAAGTGTAAAGAAAGAAATGCAATGAAGTTTCCAAGGTTAAAACAAAAAAGATACCAACATGTAAATATAATTGAATTGGAAACATTTTTAATTAAGGATTTAGAAAAAAACATTTTAAAATGTTACAATTATGTGTGTCAAGTGCTTTAGCCCATAGAATAGGGAATGATTAAATGTATCATTAGGACAAAGAGAAAGTTAAAGATAGCTTCTGACCAAGTCATACTTAATTACAGAGTTAATGGACAGTGTCCCAGTAAAATTAAATTCTGAAAACATCTTTTAAGAAGCATTCAAAATTATTATTAAATAAACATCAATATATTTTCCTTCATGGGGATTACAAACACAGCATTTTAAACCATTTAGAGAACTTGAGAATCCTTTTCTCCATATTGATTCATAAAATTTAAATTTTGGAGTTTGGAAAAATATTAAATTCTATAAAATGCCTTTTCTAAAATTTTTTTGATTGTCAAAAATTATGTCCAAATGAACAGAAAACAATAACAGATGCATGTAGAGCACTCACATATTAAATATTAAAAAAAAATCCATGCAATTAGTCACAATTAAATCACTTTAGGAACAATATATTATCACTTTAAAGAGCAAGAGAAATGTCATGAAACAATTTTAATATTTTTGATGCTATGTGATGTATATTAGTAGTCATATCCAGGAAATTATCAAGTATTATTAAACTTATAAATAGAGCTCTCCATATGGTTCTTTAAAACTCGTCTTTCCATCAGAAGAAAAATCCATAAAGTTTGATACATTGATCTTATTCATTAAGCTTGTGAAAAAATATCTCAAATCAGCAGATGTCTTGTATCTACAAAAGAGGTAAAAAAGGACAGTTTTTAAAATGACATTTCTAAAAGCTAGCTGTGTAAGAAAGGTTGACAATTTTGAGTTTGATTCTTTTCACAGCCGGGAGGCTTAAATTGCCTGATGATTCTGTTAGGTTTTTTTAAACCTTCCAGTTTCAGTTTCTTTTTAAAATTTAGCTATATGTGATATTGACATCAAACCATGATGCTCCAACAGAAACATTTTTAATATCTTAATGTCACTAATAATAAATTGATATTGAACTTGATCATTCAGAGCAATGAAAAATAAATAGCAGTCAGATCAAAGATATTCTTAATTGTACTATTTCCTTTAAACACATTGCCTGGGGTTCAAAATATTTATGTTTGTGCTAAGGAAAAACTCTAGTGCTGACTTCCTCCATTATAAGAGTGTCCATTATTTTAGTCTTTTGTTTTGCCTGTTTCATGGGCATTAAAAAAAATTCTTCTAGAAGAAAACACTGTTGTTATAGATACATTTTATCTTCTACAGGACCATGTTAGAAGAAAAAGCAAATGCTATTTTCTATTTTTAATCTTGATTAGATATATTCAGTCCCTTAACTCAAAAAATTCTGGGCCTCGGACACCTGGGTGGCTCAGTCAGTTAAGCATCTGACTTTGGTTTTGGCTCAGGTTATGATCTCAGGGTCGTGAGATCTGGCTCTGCGTTTCGCATGGAGTCGGCTTGAGAGTCTTTCTCCCTCTGCTCCTCCTGCTCATGCTCTTTCTCTCTCTCTAGAATAAATAAATAAATATTAAAAAAATTCCTGGCATTATTGAAATTGAATATATTCTTCTTAACACAAATAATTTTTATCTAGTAAACTATTTAAAACTTGACTTGCATTACTATTTTGATCACAGTTTGTGTGATTTTAAAACATTTGGCAATAGCTAATCAAAATGTATAAGATTAAGTTTATTAGTCCAATATGTGAATGATATTTCAGTATAGGCAAATTATATAAGATTGGATTTGAAATATATAAGTAAAACATTATAACCCATCAGTCTTTTTTTTAATTTGCATGTATTATGAAGAACATAATTTTTAACGTTCTGGTTTATTTTACCTTTGTATACTTAGTTTATTCACGAAGTCAAGTCAGTATGTGTAAACAAAGTAATAAGATTTGTTTGGGGCATTCAAAATTCATGTTATTGATTATATTGTTAGTTTCCATTTATCAATGAGACTGCAGGTTGCTTTGCTTCTGCAACACTTGCATATAATCTGCACTTTACTTGTATTTCCAACTATTTGCTAGACATTTCCTTTTTGGGTATCTTGTTGACACATGAAACATAATACATTCAAAACAAAGATGACTTTTTCTCCAAAGGCTTCTATTTCTTACATTTCATATCTCAATTGATGGCAGATTATCCTTGTACATGTGAAACATGTACAAACTCCAGAAGCTATCCTCAGCATTTTAAAAATCTGTTTTACATCTTACATCCAGTTATATTGTTAAATTGACATCTCCTGACTAGTGAGATTCTCCTCAACGTAGGAGCCTAAACCCAAATGGCATCTTCTCAGTGAAAACCTTCCCAATTATAAAATAGAGCTATTAATCATTTCTCTGTTATCTATAGAGCTCCACTGAGAACTTACCACATGCTGCAATATTTTGCTATTTATTAGCTGATGGTTTCAAATGCTGTTTCTGTGTACAGACCACTCCAAAAGGTAGTGGTATATTTTACACAGCCAATTTTACTGTGCTCATGATTTAGAGGGTCAGGAATTTAGGAGGGATCAACTAGGCAGTTTTTACTTGGGTATCTTATGTGATTGCAATCAAATGTAGGCTTAGGCTGTAGTCATCTAAAGTAATCGTCTGTGGATGTCCAAGATGCTTCACTCACTTAGATGGCTAGCAGCTGTTGGCTGGAGGCTCAACGGGAGCTATTGACTGGGCTGCGTGTATGTAGCTTTTCTAGCATGGTGGTATTAGCTGGAGTACTTAGTGGCAGTCAGGTTCCTCAGAGCTGTTGTCCCTGGAAAAGCAGGTGGAAACTGCTTGGCTTTCATGATTAGCCCAGGAAGTCACACAGCATAACTTCCATTGCATTCTGTTGGTTACAGGTGACTCACACACCAAACTGCCAGAGGACCAGCTCAAGCCTCCCCATTATCTCTTCTGTCCTTCTAAAATGTGTCTTTCTCTCCCTTTTCTCTACATCTACCTAAATCCTTTCCATTTTCAAGGTCTGCCTCAATACCACCTGCCAAAGCTTTTCCTGATCTCATCGTTCAGCTAGGAGAGCCAGGGCCTCTGTGGTTGAGTTCAGAGAAATATCAGTTCAAATCCCAGTCCTCCTGTCTGAGCCACGTGACCTTGGAAAAGTTACTTAATCCCTTTATGTGAAAAGCAGAAGTAGTAACAGGATCTGCCTACCTTACAAGGTTGCCGTGAACATTGAATGGCCAAACAGTAGAGAACATTCCCTATGACAGATAGTGAATAGACAATGTTAGCTACCATTGTTATATTGTCTTTTGTCAAAGCCCGTAGCATTTTATTTGTACCTTTAGTGTGTCTATCATAGTCTTCCAATTGTGATAATAATTCGTGGGCTTATTTTGTATCTTTTGCATATTTAGTCAATGTTTTACAGGCAACTTACCAGTAGACATGTCTGTCTTGAATACCAACTCAAAACCACTCTGAGTCATTAAGCCTCAGAAAAAAAAAAAAAAAAAACAAAATGAAAAAACTTGCAAGTTTGTTTTTTTTTTTCCTGTGATTCCTTGTAACCTTTTCTCCCCATGATTCCTCTTGCAGAAATTAAAAAAGAAAAATCCAGGACGACTTCCTCAGTTTTGAAGGATAAAGGTAATGGAGTCAATTTAACATAACACTAGAAATTTATTAGCAAAAATATCTTGAAAAGTCTGTAGTATCTTAGACTCATCTCCTTCACAGATGGGTGAGCCCAAACTGCCCAGGTCACACTCATATATTTGAAAACTTGTATTTATTGACTTATCCCTCTTTCTTCCAGTTCACTATGACTTAAAAAGTGCTCAATTTCCAAAAGAAAGAGAAAGAATTTTCCTTAAATAATGAAAAGATTAAAAAACAAACAAAGTTAGAAGGGAAGTAAAACTATGGAAAGAACTTGCATCCATGTGCTCTGATTCTCTCTTTTCTATCCATTCACAAAATATATATTTAGTGCAGAATCAACTCTGGAGAAATAAAGATGGCAAAGCAAGTAACAGGGAGGAAGACTCGGGAATTGGAGTGCTCAATTGTTCTTTTCAAAGACTCTTAGTCAAGTTTGGTCTGCTTGAGTCTTGTCAGGCTCTTTGTTGCCGTAAATGAGCAAGGCATTCTTATTTAAATTTTGTGATCTCAGTCTTTGGAATGGCCTGGCTTTCCTTTCTGGCCATCTGAATCCCAGACATTTTCTAACACTAATGTTCACATAAAACATCAAGCTTTCTCAGTCTACTTCAACTTTCACTGAACCCTCTCATCTAAATTCACAAACTTATATATTCATAATCTAATATATATATACACATATATGTTTTGTATTATTTAATTGAAATGCCACCTATTTAAGCATCAAGAGCTAATGTTATTCCTGTTATTTTTTTATGTGGACTGATAAGTACCACATTCAATAATTACTGCATCTAGTATACAGTAATCAGAACATGTGCTCACCAGACACCAGGAGTACAAGAAAGGCATAGTCTATGCCCTCATGGAACTTACAGTGTTAATTACATAATTAATTAAAACAATAAGAATTATGGAAGGAATATACAGGATGCTGTAAGAGGCTGTAATCGGGGATTCTAATTGAGTCTGGGGAAGCAGAGGAGGCTTTCCTGAAGAAGTGATATTTAAATTCAAGTAAGAAGGATAAGGAATCAGCCAGGCCCAAGTGTGAGAATTGTTTGAGAGAAGAACTGAAGCAGGGCATCTGCTCTTTGCCAGGCACACTGATATCTGTACATTTTGCTTCAGCAAGTTGTGCTTGAAATCTCAATTGTTTTATAAACAAGGAAGCTGAGGCATAGATATATAATGTGAGCCACTCGGTATCCCAATTGTGGCTAAGAGGTGAAGGCAAAAATCAAAGTCAAGTCTCTCAGACACTGAAGTTCATCTTTTCATTTTAACACAGATACTGTTTGCTCCTTAAAATAGGGCTCTTATATTTGTATTCTTCAGAGCAATTTTGCTTTGAGGGTAGAGTTCATTACCTAAGTTTGAAAAATCTATTTGACCCTGATACATTGGCTCTGCATATAGAAAAATAGTCTTTGTCCTTTTGTTATTGGGGAAGTCTCCCCTTAATTCCCACAGAAGAGTTCAGTCGATTCTTTCTCCAGTGATACTGACTTTGAGAGAAACTCCTTCTCATTCCCCTCTCTCATTTTATCTGACAGTTAACGAGAACACTGTCCTTCATTGCGCGAGAACTAAAGGTGTCATTGAAAGATACTACCAGGAAAATCCAAATATATGTATGGTTACTTATATACATGTATATGATTTGCAAACCATAATTTGCACAAGGGAAACCTTCCCCCCTTCTAATGTAGTATGAGATACATTTATTTTGGTCCACGGTTATGCCACAGGAATAGTTGGACCGTATATTATTGTTTGCAATAAAAGCAGCTCAAAAGAAAGATTGGAGCTTACCTCCAAAGCTGCTTTTGAGGCACTGATGATTATCAAAAATTTAAACTACTACTTAAAGACCTCACTTGTACCAAAGCTTAAACTAGTTGGAAATGGTAGTTGTAAAAATCTGTCTTGGAAAATATTATCGGGAGATTTAAATCCACACCGACCGCTAAGTAGACTCCTGTAATTTCTATTTTTGTTGTTATTGTTATTAATGCACAATTGCAGGCAATTTTCTAGTGAATACTTTCCCCTCAGTGTTAAATTCTGTACTATTTGCAAGATGTTTCCAGTCACTAGAAAATCATGTATACAAAGGTTCACTGCCCATGATTATTGATTTAGAACTATTTCAAATGCACCTCTTTTCTTGCTCAACTGTGTTAATGCTGTCAAATGTCTTTGTTACATATTAGTTGGATATTATTTTAAAAGAAATTTATTGCCATCTTTCCTTTATTTTCTGAATATGATTTATCATTACAAAAAAAATCAAAGAGAAAATTTGCAGTGTTACCTGTAAGATGTCAGGGACATTAAAAACCCGTGCAATAATACTGTTTTTGGAGAAGCTCTTTGAAGTTTGCTGCTGAGGTGTGGCAGAATCAGAATGAAGCAATTCCACTTGCAAAAAAGCCGCTTAGTGCATTGGAGTCACTGTATTTTGTGAGTTATTTCTATTAAACAGCTAAAAGGTTGCCTACATTTGCCAGTCTCTCACTGATTCCACTTGCATGTACACATTAGAATCCATACTGAAGCAATGCTAGAACTCATAAAACCAGGATTATTACACAGAAATCATTTGGGGCCACATTTATTGGGAATTTGATGACCATGAGTAACTTAGGCATTTGGAGAAACATCATTAGGCTGTGTCTTGCTTTAAGAAGCTATAGAGAGGTCTAGGGATGATTGTTCCAAACAAAAAGAGCAGGGGAAAGACACATCCTTCTATTTTCTGAGAGCTTTCTCCATATTTGAGGTGATGAGTCTATGGCTTTCAAATACATTATAAAATTACATCTCTTATTCTACTTCTTCCTTCTTTCTCCACCAACATCAAAGCAGTCTTGTGGGTCCTCTGCCTCAGCCTTGGATTTTATAACTACTTTAATCTCATGCAAACATATATGCTTAACTGATTTAAAACAATATACTGTATCTTGAATTCTCAAGTTCCAAGCATACACTCCCCCACCCCACTAGGGATCTGTCCCCACCATCACTTCTCATTTCACAATACATTTTTTTTTTTGTTTAACCAGGAAATGCAAAAGCAGTAAATTACCCCCATGAGCTTGAAAAAAAGTTAATGAAGCTTCTCAGTCTGTTTATTCAATCCATAGCACTTGATTTCATCTTCAGATGCTGAAATATAGAAAAAAAATAGGCCCTACTTATACTTAGTATGTTAAATGGCAACATGGACCTTTCCTTGCCACCAAATCCATTTAAAAATATTCTGCAAACATATGGATATTTAAGGCTATAGCTTATCTACCAAGAAAATCTTGTTTGGAGGAACACAGCCTTTTCAGTAGGACTCCTAACTCCATTTATGACCCCGTCCACAGTCACCTAGATTCAATTCTAAGTGATTGCGTGAGTGCGATATCCATTCACAAGTGCCACCATCATATGCTGCATTCCCACCCCAACCCATAAGGTGGGAATAGAACAGAGGGCTGGCAGGGTAGATTTTTTTTTTCCTTTCCTTCCTCTCTCACTGCATTAAATGTCATTTTTGTCAGTGAAATGGACACTGAGATACAATGTTGCAGAGAAGGCAGAAAACTGGTTTATCTTTTGTAGGCTGTGGACGAAGCATGATGCTGTTCAAGACATCACTCATTTGTATGTCTGGAACCCATGATATGATTAGAATCACTTTGTATTTGAACCTGGTAGAATAAATGAAGTCTTATTTTGTTTTAACTAAGGGCCACATTTTTAAGATGTTGGAAGTTTGTGGATAAAATTGTCCTTGTATTTTATTTCAGTCTTATTCTTGAAATTAGTTTGACTTGAGTCTGATGACTAAAGCACTGCACTTCCATGACAGATGCAGGGTTTTCCATTTGTTTATTTTATAAAAAAATCACATAGCCTGAAAGAAATAAACTAAGCTAATGCTGATTATAACAGTTTTGGGAGACTTCTAGAAGCTGTATGTTTTTAAAAATTACAGCTAAAATAAGTTCCTATCCCCCCAAAAGCCCATTCTCTTAAGTGAACAAATAGATTGTAACTCACTCAAAAATTTACATTTCTTTTAAGTGAAAATGATCAGAGGATGGCTTGTTGTACTCTATACTGTTGTTTCCTTGTCTCTGTATGACTAAAATCATTTTTGAAGGAAAACATCATGTAATTTCCACCCAGGTTCACTTTACTGATAGCTTACTGACTCATTGAGATTTGACTGTTCTCAAATCCTTTTATGTTGGCTTCAAATAAATGCTCAATGTTTCTTTCCAGAGCTTATTAAGGGGAAAGAAGTGAAAGTTCCAGTTTCCCTAAAGGAAAAAGGTAATATTGTATAATGAAATGTAAAAACACATTGAGCTGCCTACTGCATATTCAGTTATTTGCAAAAAAGTAATATATCATTTATTTTTCAGGCTTTTAAAACTATAATTTTTATATGCCTTGTATATTTTTGAGCAAAGGAGAAAGGACTATTTTCTATCATAAAATTCTAAATTGTACTATGAAACAACAAAGACAAGAGTAGCTATGTCAGAAATACCATGGAAGCTTTTTAAAATGCATATGTTATTCTGATTCCACAAGTCTGTATAATGGAAAAATCTGCATTTTATAAATATCCCAAGGTGAATCTTATAAGGAATAGCTATGGAAACCAAAGATTTAAGATAAAAATACTTAAAATTTCTCAGTGATAGCTTGCCATTCTGTTAGGTTCGGATACAATAAAACTAAACAAATTTTATAGCTAGGACGAACTTAGAGATAAACTATAGTCCAATACCCTCATCTTATAGATAAATAAAACTGGAATAGTCAAGAAGTTTTTCAAAGTTATTGTAATTCGAAATAGAGCCAGCATAAAAATTTGATCTTCTTAATCAAGCACTATAATAATGCATCCTAGTGCATTCCCATTATACTAGGCTCAAAGTAATGTGGATTCTGACATGCCATACATCAAGTTATGTCCCTTAAAGCAAAAGTAAATATGCTAAGTCCAATGTAATATATTTAGTTTCTAATTAACTCCAGTACATTCTAAGGGCATGGTATCATACTCAGAATTATCTAATATTCCTTGTTGTCAAGATAAACATAAGTGAACCAGTGAAACCATGAAGTATACCTACTATATTGAATATTAGAAATAGAACCTGTTTCTACATTTACCTGAGAAGAAGATCTACAGGAACAATCGGCCAATTAACGCACAGGGACATAGTGGTAAAAATCCCAACTTACTGGCAGTATTTTATTAAAAAGAAAGAGACTTTTGGTGAACTTGTAACACATGTGTTGGAGTTGGGAGAGTTATGGGAGACCTGGGGAGGGGAAAGCTGACAGAAGAATCAGTCAGAGAAATGAAGGGCGCATGGAGAGTCTTCATTAGTCAGTGTGGCAATGTATAAAAAACATACCCTTAAGTCATATTTTTCTAACTTTGCAATTAATTTTAAATTAAACAAAATTGCTATTTAATGAAACACAAAAGCACAACATGATTTTTTTCTCAGCCCGTAGACGTACTTGATTTTCTTAAAAAGTATTTTAAAGCAATGTAGACTTCAAACTTATTAAGGAATTTATGTTTCACTTTAGAAAGGTATTATCATATCTAAAGCTTTATCATCATTTATGATAGTAGTTATTTTGGTGCTATATACAACTTTGTGCTATTCTGGTATAATATGAAAATTTGAATATTTTGCTCTGTAAGAGAATTCTTACATGTAATGTTAAATGTCCAGTAGATAGCAAAATGTAGCTACATTTTAGAGAATGAATTAATTGTGAAGACTGACATTCCTATGGATTTACCTAAACGCTAATTCATTTTTAAGAAACTCTAGATTTCTTTGGCATGATCTGATTGGTGATTAGAACAAACAGTTACATCACAATCTAAGTTGAAATGATTTGATGCCATTAAATAATTTAATCACTTAATGATGCTGTTATTCCTTTGCCAATCTAAAACAGAAATATAAAAAAAATGAGGAACAGACAAACACATTGTAAATTTGCACATTTTTTATTAAGGAAGTTCAGTTCAAAAAGATTCCCCTAGAAGAAATGCATGTGGAATATATACATATGAACGAAAACCAATTCAGGTTTCCACCAAAATCACTTGATGTGTATTTTAGTCTTTGATCCCTGGACATATATACTTAAGAGCTTCCTTTCTTTTTTCCCCTCATTCCAGGTATCCTTTTTTCATCATCCTGGACCATATGGTCAGTGTAGCATGAGCCAGTTCATGGTCACAGATAATGGTGGTGGAAAATAATTTTGGAAAAGATACATATTTTTAATATTATACCCCTATTTCATGAATGCTGAATTTTTGTTATTGCACCATTTTCTTCCTAATTTTTAATGACAAGTATGTATAGACAAGGGATGGTTTGCATAAAAAGTCAATTAGAACTATTATTTTATTTTATTGAAGTATAATTGACACACAATATCTTACTAGTTTCACATGTACATCATGGTGATTCAATATTTTTATACATTATGAAATGATCCCCCGATAAGTCTAGTTACTGTCTGTCACCATACAAAATTATTACCATATTATTGACCATATCCTCTATACTGTACACTACACCCCCATGACTTACTTATTTTATAACTGGAAGTTTGTATCTCTTATCCCTCTTCACCTCTTTCGCTCTTCCCCACCTCTGGTAATCAAAAATTTGTTTCCTATATTTATGAGACTATTTCTGTCTTGTTTTGTTTGTTTTGTTTTTTAGATACCACATGTAAGTGAAATTATATGTCTTTCTCTAATTTATTTCACTTAGCAGAGTACCTTCTAGGTCCATACATGTTGTTGCAAATGGCAAGATTTTATTCTTTTTTGTGGCTGAGTAAAGCCCATTGTTTATATATGGTTAGAGTAGGATTTAAGACAAAAAGAGAACAAATCTGAGCAGAAAAGATAAATTTCACACTGGAAAAATGTATTGCAACGCATATAATGAACAAAGCATAAAGAATCACATTATACTTTTTAAATCTACAGATTATAAAAACAGAAGAAACACACCTGAAATGCCAAATTTGTTGACTTTTACTTATTTTAAACATAGTTAATTGAACAAACAACCAAAAACTAATTTTATAATCACTGAAACATGTGGGTAAGATTTGTAATTTTTGATCAGGACTGAATAATGTAACTTATTTCCATGATATAGTAAAAGTCAAATAATTGAAAGAGAAATGATAGCTGGAATCTATCTCAACTACATGAAGTTTTTTAATAGGATATTTATATAAAGCCCATTTTAGTACTAAGATGATGTATATAAAATAATTTGAGTAATCTTGGAAGATTATTGTAGTCACAATTCAATATCATGGATTTGATAATATTTTATTTTATTTTTAAAGATTTATTTATTTATTTGAGAAAGAGAGAGAGAGAGCATGTGTGGAAGGGCAGAAAGGACAGAGGAAGATAGAGAGAGTCTTAAGCAGACTCCGTGCTGAGCGCAGAGCTCGAGTTGGGGCTCAGTCTCACGACCCTGAGATCACGACCTGAGCTGAAACCAAGAGTCAGATGCTTAGCTGACTGTACCACCCAGGCGCCCCAACTTGATAATATTTTAGAAGGTAGTAATACAATTCAAAATTACTTCAACATATTGGAAGCTAGTTTCAATAGAAATGAACATAAGGGATTCAATTTAGGACAAAATCAAATTGTATAGGTTTAAGAGAAAAACACTGCACAAAAGTAGCATAGAAGAATTTTGCCTTAAAGAATTCCTCAAGTGAATACGAATAAAAAATGCAGCACTAGAATTTGAAAATATGAATTATACTGCTAAGAGTGACAATAATAGTTCACATCACCATTGCTCTTTACTCTATTTCGAATGATTTTGAGCCTCATGGCCTTGTATGGTGTGTAGTTGATTAAATATTTTTCACATTTTAAAAAGTGTAAAAACAACAACAACAACCATGTTTTACATGTTTACATACTCCACAAGCACTTTACTAGATATTTTCTACTAAAATAACCAAGACAAAACTCATTACATTTTCTATTTGCTCATTCACCCTTCTGTGTTTTTAATTTTCTGATTTTTCTCCAATCCTTTCAATATCTCCTTTTGGGCTATTTTCACAAAGTGCAAAGTGATTGTCCTTATTTCAGAATATCGTATTTGATTCCAGATATTCTTCATTGCACTTAAGACTTTTTTTTTTTTTTTTTGTAGTAATGTAGGTGCTTGGAGGGGAGCCTTAACGCTTTCTTTATGGAAGTTTCTCAGTTACAAAGAATGACCACCAGGAAGTGAGAATTCCTGTGAATTTATTTTGGAAGAACATAAAGTATTTTGTTCAAGCACAGCCCAGTGGAAGAACTGGTACATAGCAGTTGTGTTAAATCTGGTTTAGCCCTTTAGAAGAACTACTCCAGATGAAATGCCTGGTCTGAGGACATCTGTGTTTGAGGTTTCCCATTTCTCATTAACTTTTCTATAAAGATTCTGATTTTTGTGTCCAACTGATTGATTGTATATATTTGATCTGAACAAAACAAAATAAACAATAAGTACAACCTTGGTTTATACCAGGCAAAGTCAGAAAGTTTTAGCTTGTCCATCCATCTATCTCTTTCTCTCACTTCAGTTGCCGTGTAACATGACATAATTTAACATGATATCATAAAAGTAGCTGAAAACACCAATTTTCTTTTTTGCATACTTATTTTTTAGATTAGGAATTAATAATCTTCAATTTCATATTTGCATGAAAAAATACAGTTTTCAGCTACTTCTGTCTCATAAAATTTGGAGGGTAGCTTCATGTGACACTAAAGATAAGGGTCAATCATTTGTGGTAATGAAAATTATTTAAGCATCAAATCATAGACAAAAAAGAAGTGGTCAGCTACTTAATTCTAAATATTTGCCTATAAAATTAAGCTAAACTCACAGTTTTGCTGTAGTATCTCTAATGATTCTTTTCTCAAAGAAGTTTATAGACCATATTAAACAGACTCAAATATGTGGATTATATACAATAATATATTTAGAATAATAAATAAGGTCACAGTTATAGCATTTAGAAAGCAGTACTATAGAAATCCATACATTTTATCATTTATATTAATCAAAGTAATATTTCTTCAACAAATAGCAAAGTAGACAGTGAAAACAAATAAAGACCTTGATGGTAAATCTGTAAATAATTTTATTCTGCCACAACTTCTATTAAATCATAAAAATCACTATGGAACCAAGAATATCTTGACTAATTTTCCAAGTCATCATTTGTGATATTCCCTCTTA